TTATGATGCTAGTGTGGCTAGGAGTATAGGAGTATATTTAATGACTTGTGCAACTTAGTAGGACCAGTTGTCTTTCATAATCCGCTCATGAATGTCCCATACATCAATGAGGGAATCATGTTGTGTCAAGAGTAGTTAAGTAGTTGAAACTTTAGTCTGACTAGCTAATAAACCAGAGGTGCGAAATTAGGATTTAGTCTGACTAGCTATATACTCGAAGTGCGAAATTAGGATTTAGTCTGACTAGCTATATACCCAAAGTGCAAAAAAAAAATTAGGATTTGCAGATTTAATTCTTGAACGGCATAACTGTTGTTTTTTTCTTGCTCTACTTTCATTGATGTTCAACGCTTAGGTATTGTGTGACCTAGTCCGCTTATGCATTCCTGTGCTTGGCACCTATTTGTTTCTATTTGCTCGCCAAATACCATTTGCTTTCAAAGTGTGCTCTAGGCCCTAGATAATCATTAGCTCTCCCAACAGCCCAGCAAATGGTAAGATGGCTACAACCCTTTGGGCATACTTCCTGCCATAAGGTAAGAGTGTTGGTGCTGAGTGCAGTGTGGAGTGAGTGTGGTGTGCCTGGGTGTGGTATGTAAGTGAGTGACTCGGTCCACAAGCCACTCAGCATTGATCTCCATCCCTCCACCAGTGGTCAAGTTCTGCCTTGCTAACTATCACTCCTTGGCTTGTACCTGAAGCCTGGGACGATTACTACTTGATTTATGATTACTACTTGATTACTACTACTACTAGGGATGGTTACTACTTGAGAATGGTTGTTAAAACCATAGTTGACCTTGGCTAATGTTTGAGCAAGACATTATTATTTCCGGCAGCAGAAGCTGTTAATAACTATTTTCCATTTTGACTTTACTATTATATCGTGGTTGCTCAAAACTACAACACTGAGAGGCCTCAGTGGTCCATTCAATAGAGTATTTTACCCAGACCACCAAGTGGGCTGAACTGACACCACCGCTAGTGTTTGATTTAGACCAAGTACCATTCATTTTGTTGTATCTGCCATTTTGTATTTTGTGTTTTGTTAGTAGTAAATTGTTTAGTGTTTTCCATGTTTCATGCCTTCCTGAATGTGACTCCTTCTGACCACATTCAGTATTTGTTCCATGACCAAGGACTCAAGAGATACAGTCTCGCATATTTGTGCGGGCTTACCGGGAACCGCTACAACATTAATACAAGATATTGGCTGAGAGTTCAATACATTTCACCACACACAATAGCTTGAAGTGCTCATTTTCAGTTTCCATAAAATATGTGCAATCAAAAATAAATAAATGAGCTTGAAAGTTCAATCAATTGCACAATTTAATTTTTGGCAGCACACACTAACCAAGGAATATTAGAAACAGTTTAAACTTTACAGGAATAAAGAGAGATATTTTCTTGACAGATTTTACAGGCAATAAGGAAATTATGAACCTACATTATTAGTACGTAGTATACTGGAACAAATAAGATTCAAGTTGAGATTGAGCCACTCTCCTGAAAAACATTTCTGGATAACCAAAAAGTTGAAGAAAATAAAAGAAGAAGCAAGTGTGTAATAATTTCCTGGTAAACACATCTGAATAATGACATGGTATTCTGTCATGTATTTGCACTTAAAATCTTTTTACTGCCCATGGTTAATCAGGCGCCACATAGCTTATTGTGGCAGCATTTACAGTGGAGGTTACGGGCTGCAGCCTGTCAGTAAATCTCAGTGCGTTGCCAGTTAAGGTTTATTTATGATAAAGCTGGTCCATTTGCCGTATCAGCTTTATTTGCTGTTTTATTTTCCTGACAATATACCATGATAATTTGTTAATGTTATCCAATATACCAACAATAGACAGTAGTCAAGAGCATCAGTGTAACATTTAAATTGCTTCATTTGGCCAGTGTCTATTTTTGTACATTATTCGTTACCTTTTGCCATGCTTCCAGTGGATATTCTTCTTTCATATAACATATAGCTTACAAGAGCAATAAAAGGAAGAAAACCTATGTTGGTGATGCAGTCTAATATACAAAATGCCTTGGACATTTTCATATATTGCTTTATAGGATGACTTCATGCAAAACCTTCAAGGAACAAAATAATAATCATTATTCCTCCCTGCTGATTGATATGAATGATGTTCAAAACTAAGGAGATGAAATGCTTCTGAATTCTAGGGAACTTTTGTACTTAAAAACAACTCACTCTAACAAAAAGAAATACTTTCATCCATTTAGTGCCATTGAGGGAATGGGAGTGGTTTTGAGTAGGCACTTTGTTCCAGGTGTACACCACTCCTTTGATGAGACGCAACATCTCTTCTTCTGTCCATGGTCCATCAGCAACTGAAAACAAGTTATGGAGAGCTTAGCCACTGACATACTGATACTCTAAACAGATTAGAATAATCTTAGGGAATTTTTATTCAAGACTTTGGCCCAGCCTGGAAAATTGAAATTAGTTGAACATATTTTCCTCCAGACATGGATGCTGTGCTGGAGAAAATTTTTTTAATAAGCATGACTTTGGCAATTTGAAACTGACATCACTGAATGTTAAAGATTGGTTTAATCACCTTGCAACCCTCAATCAAGGCTGTTCAGCAAACAAATTTAGACCTACCATGCAACTATTCCCTTGCAACTGAGAAATAAGTACCTACATGAAGCAACTATTGACAATGTTAAATTGTTTTCAAGTTGAAAGGAAAAAAATTACTTACAAAAAAGACAAATTTGAATACTTGATTGAGCAAAAAATAATTGAGGTTGAATTAGGTGATACTACTGAATTTTTAATATTTGAAAAATGTTGAATGAAGGCCCTTGCTTATACTGAAATGGCCAAAATATTAATTAGATACACACATTGGAACTGTCTGTATTCACTGGCAGTAAAAAAAAATAATTTGACAACAAAGCTCTTTTTCGTAAAAACAATTGGCAGGAGGAATCAATTGGTGTAACAAGAAGCCTCTAATTTAGACAAACACTTCTTCAATTAACATTATGTCAGGTGCTTAGAAGTTAAGAAGCTCTGATTCATGGGTTGCAATTCCAAAAGATGAGCTAAACAGAGCACTACACTTATTTCAGGAGAAGTTAAGAAGGTAATAGCAAGTAAGTCACAACAAAGCTGTTTAAAATGCCCGGTAGCAAAAATCTTTCATAAATAAAAGTGCAACACAAATGTATAATATCAGCACTAAGTTCAAAACAAACTCTCATCTGAAAAAGCAAGTAATATGATTTGTCACCAGACTACTTATGAAATAACAATTGGCTGCAAGTAGAACAGTTACCAACCATGAATTAGCTTTAGCCAACTCATTTGGTGATCAATTAACCAAATATTGTGAAACTAATCCACTTTCACTGTTGAAAGATTGATTAAATAATGATTACACGATTTTCATACACCAGATAATGTATATATAGGTAGTTAAGACTCCATAACCCAAGGGCTTAAATATTGTAATTTTGTGCTGGGAATGTTAGCTTTGTATAAACATACATACCAAAATTTTACATTGTAGAGTAGCTCCTGATATGGATATCAGGAGCTTCATCATAATAACATTTTTTTGAATGCCATGATATATGCAAATGAAATTGGCAGTGAAGACAAAAAATTAAATTCAATAATGAAGCTTCAGTCTACATTTGCTTTTAGATCATAATCCTACTTAAACTTTATTTATCTATGACAAACAGACAAAAAAAATAAAGTATATAGTTCATCCAACTATATTAAAATAAGAAGCAATGATAAGTCAGGTTACTGAATTAAAAGTACCGGTATATAATCCAATAGACATAAGAAACAAGTATCTCACTTGGGCAGAGCTTGAAGCGATAGTATGTCCTAAGGCTATTGTGGAGCAGTGCACCACTCGTTGAATTCAGGATGAACTCCATTGATGCAACGTCCACACCATAACGCTTGAGAAACAGGTCAACAAGATACATCTCTTTTTTCGCCATGATGTTTTGATGAGCAAAGTTGATGCCTTTATTCCATGCACAATTGCTGTATTTACCCAATACTAATGACTGCAGGTGCCATTTTACCTGTGGGAAACAAAATAAAAACATGAAACTATTTGTAAAATTAAATAACTAAAACCTTTTCATAATATTCCTCAAGCAAAAAAAAAAAATTTTTTACTATTTCCAAATTATTTACAAAAATTTAAGGCTATTTAATTAATTTTAAATTAGGGCTTAAATTTTTACAAAAATTTATGGCTATATTTGAAATTCCACCTGTAGGAATTAGAGGTATAAAGTTATGCAAGTATTTTTAATGCTGATCTATTAAAATAAAGTCCCTGTAAAAATTAAACTAAATACTGGTATATGCAAAAATGAGGCAATTTGTCTTTCGGTAATTAAAAAAAGTTATTCATGATAGGTTTTAGACATTGTACATACACAAAGAAAAAAAGCTAAAAGATAATCAATTTCCCTAAAATGACCGATAGGCCCCAGTATATGAAATTGTAGAAATTTCCAAAAATCCAGGCTATCATAGACTCCAGCTACATTATAAAATTCATGATGGTGTTTAAGCAATAGCAGCAGAAAGCCAAAAGGCAAATCTTGATGGACATTTATTCCTTGGAACAGGATTGCATAAGACCCATATCAGTTCTGCTACTCTCTGATTCTATTTTGTTGAGATATTATGGATCGAGTTGTGAAACAATTATGTTACTGATCATTGAATAGATTCTTTATGAATCTTTAATGAGAATAACAGCAATCATGCTATCTCAGCTGGATATTCATGATACATTTGGAATGATATAATGGCATCTCATGCTGGTAGTAACACAATACATATGGTACTTGAAATTAATGTTTCAAAGTTAATTTGTGAGCAGGGATGGGAAAATACAAGATTGTCTCACAAACCTGCATCAAACTTCGGTTTAATCCTCTTCTTATGTAGTTTAGAAACTTTTTTTGTTGAGGTACTGAGGTTAAGTAGACCTGATTTATTGAAAATGAGTCATGACTGCCTTCCAAAATGCAGGTGCGGTAGTTTATCAGGGGGCGCAAGTCATAAAATTTGTACTCCTGCACAAAAATTATAACATTGTGAATTCAATTTAGAGAGTATTAGAACTATTTGCAGCAATTAAAAGATTATCTGCCATTAAAGCTCCAATGTATATACTTGAGTTATGTACATAACCATTTTTCATATACCATGATTCAACAAACAATACACATTGGTAATTCCTGAATAATACTGTATAGTTATTTTTACTAGAGTAAATAGTAAAATTCAAATCGTACAATTTTTATTAATGCTGTCATTATGAGTATTAATTCCAAGATAATAATAATAAATAAGAGGGGTTGGAAAATAATAATAAAAAAGAAGAGATGTTTGCAGTTGAGAAGTACAAGCCAGGTTGGCAAGAGGCAAATAATATGAAGTGGCTGAAAAACATGGATTTATAATGTGCATTGGGGAAGACAACCAAATGTCCTAGCAAATTTTGGATTGGAAGTGTTTTAGTCAACAGGCAGAACTGTTAGGTACTGTTAAAAATATTTGGTGCTGAGTATAATAATAACAAATGAATAAATAAAGCAAATGAAATATAGGTGGTAGTGATCTATTGTTTTGAAAATATCATGTAATGCCATCAATGACTTGTTTGTCATGGACAGTTTCACTAACCAAGCTGAATAAAATATGAAAAAAAGGGGCCACTTGAATGAGTCTTCTGGTAGACTAAAGGAAACTAACTTCTTGATAAAATGCAGTGGTTTATATTTCGTATAACTTGCAGCAAAAATCTTGGAAAACAATGAAAAATGATCACCAATAAGCAAAAATGAAAGAATCAGTATTTACCTATCATAGTTAATTTTAGTTTTCCAACATCATTCAGCCAAACTAGAATTTGAAATTATCAACTATTAACTGACCTTTTGAAACTGATTCCAATTTTCATTAATAATTTGTTCCTCCTTTTCACTAAATATTCCTTTATTATATTTGCCGTGTAGGTTACGCTTCTTTGCATTCAGGGTTTCCACCACAGCATCTTCATCAGCATCACTTTCCTTGTCCATGAACAATTTTCCAAGAAACTGTAATAAAAACAATGGTCCATGAAATAACTCATTTGAAAAGCATAAGACTGAAATTGATAACATAATTTTCAGCTTGGCTAAGTTCTGTAGACATTTTGTAATAAGCAGAGCTGGGCAGCGCTACTTTGAAATGTAGCGCCGCTACCGCTACCGCTACATGCTCTAAATGTAGCGGGCGCTACCGCTACCGCTACCGCTACATCCACTAGATTGTAACGGGCGCTACCGCTACCGCTACAGTAAAATGTAGCGCGCTACATTAGCCGCTACAATGGCCAAAATTATTAGAAATAGCTGGCTCAAAAGAAGCAGCATTAGCATCTCAATGAGAAAGTGACAAGGAGGAACAGGTGAAAAGCAACAGAAACTGAGACTCTTGAACAAGAAGTTGCTTACATGGGACATCGGCCACCTGCACAAGAGAGACAGAGAGGGGAAATGGAAGGAATCCTACCTACATAATAACTTGACCTCACAACTGAGACTTGCAGTCAGACACTGCAAGCTCAGCAGTATGGTGCTCAGGAATCATCCCCCTAGGAGGGCAAAATCCCATAGGATTTCTGACAAGCATAGACACCCATCAGAAGTCCCCCCTGAGAGGCCCCAAGTACTAGATATATGTTCATGCTACTGATTTACCATAAAAACTGTATCCCCATACTTCCAGATTTGTTACAAGTAAAATACAACACCTGAAATGAGAATTTTCAGGTATAATTTTAAAACTTGCATCACATTGTAATGGGTCGTCTTTATTGATTAAGTTAGGGAAGGTATTCAAGGTTCTTTAAAATCTAAAGGGTTAAATAAAAGATGGCCTCCCAACTCCCCTTATAGCCATCCCTGTCCACCAGGTGCTTTTCTCTTTTGTTCAACTTTATTTTATTTTGATACAAAACTTCATGATAAAGGGACTTAAAGTTTAAACCTAAGAGAGAGCTCTAAATCAAAAACCTAACCAACTACTGGATGACTGTATAACCATTAACTAGGGAACAGGGTGGAACCCAACTAGCAGGTATCACCTTAACTACAAGCTGGATAACTGGGCAACCAGAACCGTATATCCAAATAACAGTATAACTGCTACACTGGACAACTAGGCAACTAGGCAACCGGGCAAACGGTACAACCAGACAAACAGGCAACCATACAACCGGACAAATGGGGCATGGGTCGCTCATGAAAGTACTTGAAGATGCTTCTGTAAAATATATACATTATCAACACCTAACACAACTATTATTAAGCACAACATCAATACAAACTTCAAACATATGTACACAATAAACTATCAAGCAGGATAACATATAAATATATTTCTTATCTATAGCAGTATAACAGTATCAAAACACAACAAGCCATTGCCGGTGATCATCAAGTAAACATCTCTGGTGTTGTTTGTAAGGAAAGATCTGGTTGCGTTGTTGCAGTCTGGTCAACAGGGGTTCACAAAAGCTATGTGAAGATTAGCTCAATCACCCCAAGATGTAATACCCATATACGCCTATCCTCCAACCCTAAGAACAAATTTGGGCAATGAAAAATTGTTCCCAAACAACAGTATACTTAGAACTAAGGACCTAAACTCTAACAGCTGGTATTGGATCTTTCCCCAGGTAGCAAAACATATCCTTCCCAGGTTGATTTAGGCCACCCTATGGGGAAAGTTTTGGTTATAGAAATATGGTACTTGGCTAGACAATTTCACAGCACGACTGGTACAAATGATCTACAAACTACCGCATCGGAAAAGTACATCCCAGCCTATGACACCTGAGAAACTATTAACACACCATATACCATCAGAAAACCAACAGGGCATGAGTTACAGTAGACACCGGGGATAAAGACAGAACTCTGTAAAGAGGAAACGGTGGTTATTACCTTAATTTATGGGAGTAAGTGGTGCACCATCAGAACACATTACCTGATACACAGATCAATGACGTACTGCTGGAGGACAATGCAGTTGTGGTCTTTTAGACTCCCCAAGCACGCACAGGCAATCACTCCAGGCACACACACCCCTGGGTACTCACCCATCTAGTGTAGCAGGGAAGCCAAGAGTCACTGACAACTAGGGATAACAGTGGGAGCACCACCCAGAGAACCAGAAACCTCATGTGCACCGGAAAATAGCAGAATATTCACCATGTCCCCTAGTACGCAAAAAATATGACACCAGGAATGGGACAGAACATAAGAGTTAAGGTTCCTAAACAAGAACACAAGACATGGCATCTGGCCTGCGTGGTCATAGGACTTTTTAGTCTATGAAGTGTATATTTTACTGCAAATGGTTACTTGACTAACAAGTATGTGGACCAAGTTTTGGTTCACATCAAAGCAAACAACAGAACACTCATATACTACTCTTAACTAGAAAACAACCAGGTATATCCTAAACTTAATGTGATCCTCAAGATTGGCAAATCTTAATGAGGCATGGATAAATAACTGGCCCAACTGGAGCAGACTAGCAACTAAGATCACCAAACACCAGCGCAACAGAACTAACCTAACAACCTTGATATTAATTACCCAAATAGTAGGGCACTGGACTAGTCACATTAGGTTACACCTGGCACAGTAGATCAAATCACAGTTCTACTCAACCACGCTGTTGGGGACTAATAAAAAATAAGCATTCTCTAACCCCAAACACTTGGCCAATGATCGCAATAAAGGATGAATAAAAATAATAAATAAAGAACTATAATAATAAATGAACAATAAATACAAGAAAACAGAACTATGAAAACTATAAACCGTGTGTCTCGCAAGCTTTCACTTTCAACTCGTAAGAACGTCCTAAGTTTGGAGCCTCGCTGAAAAGCAAGAATAAATACAAATCAAGGACTTGAATTACAGTAACGCTAACGAATATATAACACATGAATAATAACCTAATATAAATATTCAATATCACCAGAAAAATCTCCATTACATAAACACGAAAGATTAACACGATAAACAATTCAAGTACTAACCTCTGTGGTGGATCACATAACAATGACGAGGTACATAGCGGGTCTACACGAGGTGACTTCATAGTTCACTCAAAAACAAAATGACAATCCTAACTATCGATGAAATTATTATATTTAAAAGCGTTCCCTAACAACGCTGACAACAGGCATATATCCTAATACTCCGCAATCCGCTATGATAACTAGGAATTTAAAAGTAAAAACAATACCACAAAAATTCACCATATCTTTATAAGAGAAAACGTTTCAGAGTCCAGCTCCGTCGTCAGTTCACAAAATTCAGTTCAGAAGAAGTTCAGATCTAGAAACACAAATACAATCAATTAGTAGAGTAAAAGGCACTGTTGGGTTTTAAAACGGAGAATAAATAAATAAGACATGAAATCAATGCTAGTAAACGGCCTATCTATTTACTATTTCAAGAGGAACGGAGCTAAAAGCGGCATCATCACTATCATTTCTTTCGCTAATACGGCAGTCATCACTATCATTTCTTTCGCTAATACGGTCATCATCATTATCATTTCTTTCGCTAATACGGCAGTCATCACTTTCGCTAAAATTCGCGAGTCTGTTACTTGTTGGGGCCAAGGTTCTTTATTCGCCTCTGGTTTGACGATAAATTTGTGTGAATCAGCGGCATGTGGTTCCATCACAGCTAAACCTTGATGTTCAACATCAAAGTTAGGCTGTAATGTCTGAAGTTCAGGGAGGCAGAACCAAGAATGTTGGCCTTGGAAACATTTCTTTTGAGGAGGCAATCTCGTAATTATACTAGATAAAAACGGTGAAGGTAATGGAGTTCCTCTGAAATTTGTGTGAAACATGTTTGCTTGGAAGTCGTTCTTGGGGGATGTGAACATCGAGTTTAAAGGAACACCCGTTAGCTTCATAATTGATGATTCTTGGGATTTGGAATTTGCAGCATTTTGAACATTTCGGAGGTGGATATCGTGGACATTCTTGTCAGTGAAAATTGAAACGAATTTCTTTTCCTCGATTTTCTCTGGTTTTGATTGTTCAAGTTCTACATTCTGTTCGTTTCTCTCGGGGAAAATGTCGAACATTTTTCTTCGTAGGTTTTCAATTAAACTTTTCGTGTTTTTCGTAGATGGTGGAGATGTACGCAGAATATTACGCGATAAAATAGTTTTATTTTCAGCTTTTGTGTCATGAGCCTTGATGAAAGAACTGTCATTGTTCACGCTACCATTGACCAAGCTACCACTGTTCGCGCTACCATTGTTCACCCTCCCATTGTTCCCGCTACCATTATTCACACTACCACTATTCGCGCTACCATTGCCCAAGCTACCACTGTTCACGCTACCATTGACCAAGCTACCACTGTTCGCGCTACCATTGTTCACCCTCCCATTGTTCCCGCTACCATTATTCACATTACCACTGTTCGCGCTACCATTGCCCAAGCTACCAATGTTCCCGCTACCGCTGTCAATGCTACCGTTGTTCACACTATCATTGTTGTCGCTACCCTCCACACTACCATTATGGCCGTTATCATTCACACTTACATTTATACTAAAATCTCTTTCTTTCTCGCCATGGAAAGAGGCAGCGGAGCGCCAGAAGACAGGATCTCTGTGATCCAGGCCTCGACCGAACTCGTATATAAGAGGTTCAGGAGACAAATTCTCTTGTTTCACGACTGAAAGTTTGTCAATTAATGTAAAACTGTTATCATTAGGTGTATCTGTGTTCCCATCGTATTGTGTTGACACGGGGTTATTACTTTGTATTTTTTCAATTCCAAAAATGTTTTTTTGGTTGTCCACGGTTCCAAATGTGCTTATTTTTTCTAGTTCCAATAAACTTGTGCTCTGCGGCCCAATTGTTAATTTATCATTAATGCGACCAACAGGCTGATTTAATATCAGGTTGCCAGAGTTCCTTTGACCTCGGTAAGAATGTGATCGCACAAAGGCTTCTTGAGGTTCATCTGAACTCTGTAATCTGATGCGGGTTTTCTCTGAAAAAATCCCCGGTTGTCGATCGATATCACCTTTTTCTTTGCTTGAATCATGTTGTGGGAATTTAAAAGTTCCTTGGAAGTCTAAATTAGGTTCACTTAAACTGGAAGTAGGATTCTCAGTCATGTTTTCAAAAAAGTTTTTCGATAGTTTGTTTATATTTTTTTCGTTATTCTTAAGTTTTGCGTTCTGAAAAATTTGTTCATTTTTGTTCTCCGGCTGATTATTGGAGATTGGCGGAAAATTTGAAGGTGAAATAATATTTTTAAGAGGTTTGATTTCTTCGTTAATGCTGTACGGTATACCGCGAAAAATAGACGGCAAAAGTTGTTCTTGGAACGATTTTTCGTGCGATTGCGATTTGTAAAATTTCCCTTGAACATCACGGATATAAGAGAAATTCGATGAATTCGAGAAATTCGATGAATTTCGAATTCGCTTTACATTTTCACGGTTGATATCCAATCCCGGAAATACCTCCTCATTTTGGTTGCTACTTTGTAATGCGAATGTCCAGTTATCCTGGATAGTTTGGACTGGATTTTGACTCTTTGCACCATCATTTATGGAAAATAGATTTGAATAATTTTCGATACCTGAAACTCCATGACGCAAATTCGCTGTACCAAAATTATGAATTTGATGGAGTTTTGAAGTTCCCTCTTTTTGAGAGATTTTTACCGTTGGAAATTGAGTATCAAATTGATGAGTGTTGTGACTGCGCCAATTCACAGGGTTATTTGTCACTAAATTATAATTATTTGAACTAACAAAACTACCATCAGCAATTGCGCCGAAATTGTGGAAAAAATACTGGTTTGGCCAACGATGGTCCAGCCGATCGAAACTGCTTGCATGCCCAGATGTGTGAACTTGCATCAGTGATGGGTGAGTGTTTTGCCTTGAACGATGAACGTTTTGCCTTGAATGATGAGCGTTTTGCCTTGAATGATGAGCATTTTGCCTTGATGGGTGATTGTTTCTTCTCGTTGGGTGAGTGTTTTGCCACGATGGATACATGTTAAGCTGGGATAAAATATCCTGCTGCTGGGACGGAAACTGAAAATTAATACCCTGCTGGGAGGAATGCATTCCCTCTTGGGAGGTATACTGGGCAGGAATACCTAGCTGGGAGGAATGAATACCCTCTTGGGAGGGATGCTGGGCAGGAATACCCTGCTGGGAGAAATGAATACCCTCTTGGGAGGGATGCTGGGCAGGAATACCTAGCTGGGAGGAATGCAAACGCTGCTGGGAAAAGAGCAGGGAAGGAACATTCAGCTCAGAATTAAAATAATTGTTTCGAAGGGGATGAAGATCATCTCTAATTAAATGCCGGTTCCCCAGCTCGTGGGGAGTTAGGGTTTGCTGGTAGAGTTCCCCCTGGGGAAATGAAGCCGAGGAGGGGGCAACCACTGCTACCAGAATGCAGAGCAGGTTGATCATCTGAAAAAAAAAGAAATAAAAAATTGGGGTTCTTGATTAAAAAATTAATCAAGAAAAGAAGTAATGAGAAAAATTAGATAAGATAACGACTTTAAACCGAATGAAATTGGCGTTATGATATATAACATCCGATGCAAATGAAATCATCTATATTAAAAATACCTTGAGTAATGTTATCAAACTGAAATTGGGAGCGTGTTTTTTGGGTTCTGTTATTTTCAATACACAAATAATAATAATAATTATAATAACAAGAATAATAATAATAAAATACTAAGCCGTGACAACGTTTGAATTTATCAAAAACTAAACATATAAAATTATGCGTTATCGTTAAAATTTCGATGATGTTATAGGAGAAGAAAGTCGTGACTCACATTAATGAATGAAAGTTATGAGTGACTTCAGATAAATAAATTTCATGAAAGATAACGAAGATTATATAGATAATAACGATAATGATTAGTAATTAAGCTAAAAAAAATTTATAATGCTAAATAAGATATAGATGGAACGCTAAATTCTGACTGGAGTGAAAGAGTCTACTAATGTGAATGAAACTAAGTGATTTACTTAATGAATGTGAATGAAATTAATTGATTTAGTTAATTGTGTGGTTGTCACTATCCGCAAATGAAAATTATATTGCTATCCACGAATTAATTACAATTAATATTATTATTTACGATAATTTAGGAACTAATGAGACGCAATTAGTCGTATACTTTATATAAAATCTTATAATATTTTAAATTTTATAAATACTTGAAATTTTTTGTTACAATGTACATACTACATAGAAATTGTGATTAAAATATCATGTTAATTTTATTTACACAAATTGTTTTAATAACTTCTATTAATACTTGCATAATCATGATGTTCGTGTTATAAAATTCAACATCACATATTATTTTCATTTTCACGTTTTGTATATCCACAAGATCAAAATTTGTTTTTGGTAAAAGTGGTTGAATTTACATATAAGGACTTGAATATTTTCTTTTCCGTATATAGTTTTTCAACAAAATTTCCAGAATTCTCTTAACAAAATTTCTAAACTACAGTTTCCATGAGTGAAAAACTCATACTTTTTTGTAGCGATAAAATGAGAATGAGCTACTTAATTTCTTCGTTAAATTATTTTGAACATTATTTTAGAAGCGTTTAAATTTCAATAGTGAAAAAATGTGTTTATTTCCTTTATAAGTTTCAGTCGTGACTTTCATCTAGATATTCATAACATTTAAATAACTTTAGGAACCATTCATAATCATGTATTAATTTTAATAACAATTAAACGTTGTTAGTTTTTTTATTCAGCAAACATTCGCCTTCCTAATCATCAACTAGGAATCATTTAACTACTATTTTAATTAAGTTAATTATTAATTATTATTAATATTATTTTATTAATTATAATATTATTTTATTAATATTATTTTTTTAATATTATTTTATTAATATTATTTTTATTATTATTAATATNTATCATTATTGTTATATCATTATTGTTATATCGTTATTGTTATATCATTATTGTTATATCGTTATTGTTATATCATTATTGTTATATCGTTATTGTTATATCATTATTGTTATATCGTTATCATTATATCATTACTGCTATATCATTATCGCTATATCATTACTGTTATATCATTATTGTTATATCGTAATCGGTATATTATTATCATTATCATTATATCATTATCCTTATATCTTTATCGTTGTATCATTCTTATTCTATCATATTATTATATTATTGTCGTTATATCATTATATAAACGTTAATAAAACGCTATACAATCAATAAATAACAATTTGATTGCACCACGAGCTTTATGTAAATATTAAAAATATATTTACGTAAGTAATAAATAACTCAAAATTATTCTTCGTGGTAACGGAAAAACGATATCGAATCTTGAATCGCATGTTCTTTTACACTCATAAAAATGAGCGATACTGTGTCCAAATTGCCGTACACTTTTTGCTCCTGCTTATCGGAAAATAAATAAATAAAAAATATTTTTCCTGCCCGGAAAAATAGTGCATCAATGCTACGAGTAGAAGATGTGTGTCACTATTTGTACACAATGAAACATCTATTTTTCAGTGTGTAGGATTCTCAGTAAAAGTTTGCTACTGCTATTGGTGTACGCGTGTTAAAGTTTCTTTTTAAAATAATTTTTTCATGATTTTTCAAACGGTTCGCTTAGCTAAATTTCGGTATTTAAATGCATGTAAAAACAATCAGTGACGATCATGTTTTATTAATATGTATCAGTTATTTAAATATTTTTTTATATTTTACAATAATTTTTTTTACGATAACGTACTCATTAATTAATGACGTCATTTTGTACCTTGAAGTTCAACAGTCACTTTTTACGTACAAATCCGACATTCCGATATACCTCCTTATAGGAGTAATATTATAATTAATATATTATAATTAATATACTTCCTCTCAGGCAGGATGGTTAATAATAATAATAATAAATACAAACAAAAATAAAAGCAATAACAATAACCAATAATAACAATCCCGTGTGTATCTCATTTAAAAGCTTTGGGTTCACGTTAGGTTTTTTGGTTTCACTTTTACATTTGACTTTCACTTTCATCGTTTTAAGCTTTGAATCTTGCATTCACTGAGCGAATCAAGACGGGTAGTTGTCGTGTTCCAACATTCCCGTCACATTCCCGTCACATTCCCGTCACATTCCCGTCACATTCCCGTCACATTCCCGTCACATTCCCGTCACATTCCTGTCACATTCCCGTCACATTCCCGTCACATTCCCGTCACATTCCCGTCACATTCCCGTCACATTCCCGTCACATTCCTGTCGCGTGAATGACACAGTCCCGTCATATTCCCGTCACATTCCTGTTGCATGAATGTCACATTCCCCCAGATTCCCGTCACATTCCTGTCGCATGAATGTCACATTCTCGTCCCATTCCCGTCCCATTTCCGTAACATTCCCATCACATTACCGTCACATTCACATCGCATTCCCGTTGTATTCCCGTAACATTCCCGTCATATTCATTTGTATTCCCGTAACAATTCCGTAGCATTCCCGTCACCTTCCCGTCTCATCACATTCCTGACACCTTAAATTCCCGGGCGAATTCCATGCGCGTGTTGCCGGATCATAAACTGGAATGCCAGTGACGCATTCAGCCAATGAAAGTGTGAGCTGGGAATGTTATTGGATTTTTAGAGATAATAATCATATTATGATTACAATTAGCTTATCAAATAAAATTTGGTATTAGGAATTAATTATTATTAGCCATTAGCCCATTAATGAAATTTAGTGTAAGGAATTCATTGCATACTTACAAAAATATCAAGCAGGATATTTCAAAAAAGTTAAAATAAACTCTATATAATTAATCATTATTTAACTTCAAATTTCAATTCCAAGGTGAAAATTCTCAATTTGCATTTCGTTTGATTAAGAAAATTTTGAGTTGAAAGCTCTAGATGCTTCAAATTGAATTTAAAGTTACGGGTCCAACAGGATTTATTCGCAGGCATTCAAACTTTTTAAAGTCAAATAAATACGTTTTATCTTGACAAAAAATAAAGGCTCTGCGGGATTTAATTTTTTTCATATTTTTGAAGATTTATAAATAAATGAATAAATCTAAGATGAGGTCGCATCATTCGTCTCTGATATAATAATTTCCGTTTTAGGAATTTTACTTACTTAATTTAATTTATTTATTAATAATTAAAAGAACTAATTTGTGGATTCAGTGGACAATTTTATTGTCTTTTAATAATGCATTGATATTTCTGGGAATATGTTTTTTAATCAATATCAACTCAATATTGGATCTCCTATACAATATCGTATATACGACAACAAAGCCATTATCAATATTTGAATACAGTAAAATACTATCATTGAAAATTGTAATAGATATAATATTAATTGTAGTAAATAATATTAAATAATAGATACTAAAATAAATACAAACAACAACAACACCAACAACAGCACAAACAGCGGCAACAACAGCACAAACAGCAGCAACAACAGCACAAACAACTGCAACAACAGCACAAACAACAGCAACAACAGCACAAACAGCGTCAACAACAGTGTAAACAGCAGCAACAACAACAACACAAACAGCAGCAGCAACTAAACAAACAGCAACAACGACAGCACAAACAGCAGCAATAACAGCACAAACAGCGCAAATAGCAGCAACAACAACACAAACAGCGGCACAAACAGCAATAACAACAGAAGCAGTAACAGTAACAAAACTTTACACAAGTGTGCAAAATTTCAGATCGATAAGATAAGTAGAAGTGTATTAAATTTCGATTCCAAGATTTGTAGCAGACAGACAGACAGACAGACAGACAGACAGACAGACAGACAGACAGACAAGAAGTGAAGTTAAAGAGAAGTGTTGTTAAAAATTCGAGGAGTTTCCAATTAAATTCAAAGTTACGGGTCCAAAAGTACTTATTTGCAGGCATTCAAAATTTTTAAAGTCATATAAATTCGTTTAATCGTGACAAAAATTAAAGACGCTGAGTAATTTAATTTTTTCATATATTATCAGGTATATAAATCAATGAATAAATCAAAGATTATGTTGCATCGTTCGTCTCTGATATAATATTCATTATATGAATTTTACTCAAATAATTTAATTTATTTTAATAATAATTAAAACAACGAATTTACGGATTCAGTGGACAATTTTATTGCCTTTTAATGATGCATAGATATTTCTGGGAATAAGTTATTTTCGACAGCAGCAACAACAGCACAAACAGCATCAACAGCAGCAGAAACAGCAGCAACAGCAGCATAAACTGCAACATCAACAGCAGTATAGAAAGCACAAGCAGCGGCAACACAATAACAGCACAAACTCTACCAACAGCAGCAACAACTGCACAAACAGCAGCACAATAGCACAAAAAGCAGCAACAACAGCAACAACAGCAGCAGCATCACACACAGCAGCAACAACTGCACAAACAGCAACAACAATAGCACAAATAGCAGCAATAACAGTACAAGCAGCAGCAACAACAACCCAAACAGCAACAATAACAGCACAAATAGCAGCAGCATCAAACACAGCAGCAACAACAGCACAGGCAGCACCAACAACAGCACAAACAGCATCAACAACAGCACAAACAGCAGCACAACAGCACAAGAGAAAGGCTGCCGTTGCTATCAATTAAAGATCTAACAAAGACGCTTGACCGCGGCTGTCGAACACGTAAATGCTCGAAGAGTTTTTCGTGCGTATTTGTAAAATGTTTAAAAGTCGCTCAAAGTCGCTTAAATAAAAGCGATTAATATAATTATTAAAATTAATAATTAAAAATAATTAAATTATTATTAATTAAATTATTATATTAATTATATTATTATATATTATTAATTAAAAATAATTAAAATTAATAATTATTAAATATAATTATTAAAAGTGGCTCAGTAGTAATAGTGATTTATCATGCAATATTGAATATTTAAACAGTTTATTCATTCACAAATTTAGTTAGCTTCTTCCATTCTGAGGTTTAGGTGCTGGAAATTTTGTACGTATATTTTTCAATCCTATAACCGCTACAGGACGCATTGATGACAATTTTAATGCCTTTTCTATTTAAATTATTTATGACAAGTTATTTCTTTTCGTTTGGTTAAATCTTCTATATAATCTTAATTGGAAATTTAATTAGCAACTATATAATAAGATTTGTTTGAATTGTACGTAAGAAGAGTTTTCGTTTTTTTTGAATTCTAAGCAATACTCAAACAACTGACAGTTGAGGTTAATAGGCGGCAAATATTAAACGGGTAGTTAAGGTTTGTAAGCAACGAATATTAAAATAGTAATTAAGGTTTGTAAGCTGCGAATATTAAAACATTAATTAAGGTTTGTAAGCAACGAATATTAATTTACGACTAAAATATATAGAATTTTTAAAGAATAAATATTACATACACGACTAAAAATGATTGCTTTTACAACTAAAAACTATCATTTTTCCAACTGACAAAGATTATACTTCTAATTGAAAATAATTCTACCGTAAACTGAGAATTGATTACATTTCCAGTCATTCCGGGCTCCTTTTCAGTCATTCCGGGTTCCTTTTCAGTCATTCCCGGTTCTTTCTCAGTCATTCCCGCTTCTTTTAAGCTCATTTTCTCATTTATCGAAAAAAGCGCTATTGTGCTCGTCATGTCCGTCCGTGACTTCATGTAGCAGCTGCAGTGCCGGATGCCCAGCTTTCTACCTCCTCCCACGCTCGCCATGAACAACAAAAACTTTTTTATTTATACAACTATTAAGCCATGAACAACAAAATCTTTTTTATTTATACAACTATTACATTTTGGGTCGAGTCTAATGACACGTAGATATGAAAACCTTGAAGAAATTACCTTCATAAATATAAACTATTGGCTTCTCAACGTGGTTTACATTTAAACAGGAAAATATTACATTTACAACTAAAATGTATAGAATTTTTAAAGAAAAAATATTACATACACGGCTAAAAATGATTGCTTTTACAACTAAAAACTATCATTTTTTCAACTGACAAAGATTACACTTCCAATTGAAAATAATTCTACCGTAAACTGAGAAATGATTACATTTCCAGTCATTCCGGGCTCCTTTTCAGTCATTCCGGTTCTTTTTAGCGCATTTTCTCATTTATCGAAAAAAACGCTATTGTGCTCGTCATGTCCATCCGTCCGTCCGTCCGTCCGTCCGTCCGTCCGTGACTTCACGTGACAGAGAAAATGCGCTCTCTGTCACTCGCTGCAGTGAGTACCTGTCTCTTATACACATCTAGATGTGTATAAGAGACAGCTATCATTTCTTTCGCTAATACGGCAGTCATCACTATCATTTCTTTCGCTAATACGGCAGTCATCACTATCATTTCTTTCGCTAATAAGGTCATCATCACTATCATTTCTTTCGCTAATACGGCCATCATCACTATCATTTCTTTCGCTAATACGGCCATCATCACTATCATTTCTTCCGCTAATACGGCCATCATCACTATCATTTCTTCCGCTAATACGGCCATCATCACTATCATTTCTTCCGCTAATTCGGCCATTATCACTATCATTTCTTTCGCTAATACGCCGTCATCACTATCATTTCTCTTGCTAATACGGCTATCATCACAATTATTTCTCTTGCTAGTACGGCAGTCATCACTATCATTTCTCTCGCTAATACGGCAGTCATCACTATCATTTCTTTCGCTACTATGGTTGCATGATACCGTTATAACTATCATTTCTTTCGCTTGTACAATTTAATGATGCCATCATTATCATTTCTAGTGCTAATAATGTTTATGCTACCATCATCATCATTTGTGTAAGGCAGTAAGTTTCCTACTCAAATATATTATAGTACTATTTTTTTGCTAAATATTAACTGAATTTCTGGAGGTGTGTGAATCTTCTCAACGAGATATTGTGTCCGTAATAGACTTATGGTGATGTAATTTCCAAATAATAATTATCTTCAAAATGTCAACTATTAGTTACTAAATACTTAATTTATTTATTATTACTATTTCAAAAATTATTTAGTAATAGTAAATTTTCAAATGATACAGGGTGATTCACAGAAACTTCCTGATTTGAAACTCCAATAACAAATAAACTGGTAGAGATATCATTGGATATCATTGCAATATAATATTGTTTGAAAAAATACCTAAAATTTTGTATCACTTAGTTTTAAAAATGAAACCAGACAAATGAAGATCCCCATTTTCAATTCATTCAGTTAGTCTATTTTTGAATTTCCATTCAACTCGCTGAAGCATATTGACGGGTATGTAGGCAATTGCTTGGCGTATGTTGCTCTTCAACTGAGGTAAAATCCTTGGAAAGTCATTGTAAACAATTGATATAAGATAACCCCGCAAAAAAATCACATGGAGCCAAATCTAGGGACGGGGCCGACCAAAGAAAATCACCTCTTGATTTTCTGAAAAATCACCTCTTGATTTTTCATGCCAAAGAAAATCACCTCTTGCCAAAGAAAATCACCGTTGAACATCGCCCTGTGTGGGCCGTGGTTCCATCCTGTTGGAACCAGACATCCCTGACATTCATTTCAGCAAGTTTG